CAGGACCGGGTGAAGCGCCCCATGAACGCCTTCATGGTGTGGTCGCGGGGCCAGCGGCGGAAGATGGCCCAGGAGAACCCCAAAATGCACAACTCGGAGATCAGCAAGCGCCTCGGGGCGGACTGGAAGCTGCTGAGCGACGCCGAGAAGCGGCCCTTCATCGACGAGGCCAAGCGGCTGCGGGCCGTGCACATGAAGGAGTATCCGGATTACAAATACCGGCCCCGTAGGAAGACCAAGACCTTGCTGAAGAAGGACAAATACTCGCTGCCCGGTAACCTGCTGGCCCCCGGGGGGGCCAACGCGGTGAGCAGCCCCGTCGGGGTGGGTCAGAGGATTGACACTTATGCTCACATGAACGGCTGGACCAACGGGGCTTACTCCCTGATGCAAGACCAGCTGGGCTACAGCCAGCACCCGGGCATGAACAGCCCCCAGCTGCAGCAGATGCACCGCTACGACATGAGCGGCCTGCAGTACAGCCCCATGATGTCCACGGCCCAGACCTACATGAACGCCGCTTCAACCTACAGCATGTCCCCGGCCGCCTACGGCCAGCAGCCCTCCACGGCCATGAGCCTGGGCTCCATGGGCTCCGTGGTGAAATCCGAGCCCAGCTCGCCGCCTCCGGCCATCACTTCCCACTCGCAGAGGGCCTGTCTGGGAGACCTGCGGGATATGATCAGCATGTATCTCCCCCCGGGGGGCGATGCCACAGACCCTTCCGCCCTGCAGGGCAGCAGGTTACACAGTGTCCACCAGCACTACCAGAGTGCCGGGACTGGCGTCAATGGTACCGTACCATTAACTCACATATAAGACTGGGCTGCTCCGGACGGCTCCCCATCTTAATCCTTAACCCCACCACCGCTCCTTGACTATATCGGGACGTACGGCAGTGTTGCTCGGCTTAGCAGACTTAATACTAACTTTGAAGAAATTTTAAAAGGAAATCCGTTAGATGTGTCCTTTTTGTACGAAAAGAGAAAAAAGTTATTTGAGCAAGCTGTTATTTTAATAGAGCACAACTCCTGCCTCCTAGAAGCCCCTGTGAAGTTTTTAAAACCACGGCAACTTCTTTCCTGGTTTCCGCTAGGTTGGGCGCTGTTTTATTCGCTTAAAAGTTTTTTAAAAAGGTCTTACATCTTCCAGTTTGATTTTTAGCGTTGCAATGAAAAACGGGGGGTTTTTGTTTTTAAATTCAGTTGTTCAGTTGTTTACATTTTCGTTGTGGTTTCTTAAAAATGTTGTTTTCTTCCCACCCTCCTGAGTCTCGCTTGGTTTCTATCAAAAACCTGTAGTTTTCACGACTTTTTAACTTTAGGGGTTTGTTCCTTAAAAGGGGGGAGGGGGGAAGAGAGCTGTGCGGGTCGCAAACGCATTTCTTTTATTTATAGTAAGTTGTGTGACTGGGTTTTTCTTAAGCTGTAAACTTATGTAAATCGGTTTGTGAATTTTACTGTGAAACATGTTTTGACATATCAGATGAAGAAACGTTTTAG